CAGGCTAGAGTGCCGTGGCGTCAGCTTAGCTCACAGCAACCTAAAACTCCTAAGCTCAAACAATCCTCCTGCCTCAGCCTCCCAAATAGCTGGGACTACAGGCATGTGCCACCACGCCCAGCTAATTTTTTCTATTTTTAGTAGTGATGGGGGTCTCACTCTTGCTCAGGCTGGTCTCGAACCCCATAGCTCAAGTGATCCTTCCTGCCTCGGCCTCCCAGAGTGCTGGGATCACAGGCATGAGACCCACGCCCAGCCAAGCACAGGGAACACTTAACAAAATTTGACTATGTCCATAAAGCAAATATCAATGAATTAGTACACAGACCAAATTCTCTGTGATGCAATTTAAAAAAATGTTTTAAACTAATTCTCTTCATATATTTGGAAACAAAAATATTTTTTAAATAACTCAGGAATCACTCATACTGGAAAGAGTATTCTACATATTCTAATTCTTTGAAGGGTGATATATATGACAACTGTGTTAATTAGAACATCTCAATTTTCCCACTATTCAGAGTAATTGAGTTTATTCTATCCTGTGTTTATACTTCAGAATTTTTTGAATAATCTTTCATTGTTTTTTAAAAATGATTCCTCCAAAACTATATTTGGTTGTTAACTACAAAAACAACTGAAAGATTCACAAAATAATCCACCTGAGAAAATTTTCTAAATCACATCCTATTTCAGAATCATGCCTGATACTTATAAAAAGTTAAGCTAATTATGAACAATTTGTATAACTATGGAAACAAGAGATAATTTCCTGGAAGAATAAAACTTTAGCAATAGAAAATTTTCATAGAGCTAGCTAAAATTAGCCCAACAAAGAACAAAAGAAGAAAAACAGGAGTCTTGAAAAAGAAATGATCTTTAAACCCTTGGTAACATTGAGTAAAATTACTATTTAACTATAGAAATATTTGAGCAGGCCGCTTATGTTTTGAGGGTTGAATACCTTAAAAATAAGGAAGGGAGTAGGAATAGAAGAAGTCCTCAAATACTTTATTTAAAAATGTCACAAAATTGAAATAAGTGACATGTGCTTGCAAAATAGAGATAACAGTGTTTTATCTTATTTGCATACCCAGAGAATAGCAAAGACCCAAATAACAAATAGAACTAACAAGGGGATTTGGTAAGATGACTATATACAAGAAGAAAATCTGTACAGCAATAGCTTTTATTTTTACCAACAATAATCAGTTAATAATACCCACACACACACACACACACACACACGCACACATAGAATGTTTATTGCAACTTTATTACAAATAGGGAAAATGTGGGATATAACCTGACTATATATCTACAAGGGAATGTTTGAATAAGTTATAAGTCTTATAATATACTATGCAGTTTTTTAAAAAGAATGAATTATATCCGTATGTAGTGACCTAGAAAGATACTTATGACATACGCTTAAGTGGAAAAAAGCCAGTAGCAAAAAAATACATACAGTATAATCTCATTTTTATTAAAAGAGAGTGAAAGAGAAAGAACATGCTGTGTGTGTTAATAAGGATTACTTCAAGATATTCTCTGTGTAAATCTACTTAATACCAATATCAATGCCTAAAATAACAAAAATTAAAAGAAAATAAATCCAAAGCATAATGACTAAAGTGGAAAGAAGTAAAGCAGAATTACATTTTCTAAAAACTTTGTAATGCTGAAGAAAGCCATAAAAACTCTTCTTCTAAATAAGAAAGCCTAAATGCTAAAAAGTAGGAAAAAAATACATTAAGTTTAGGAAGAATGTCTCTAAAAATATTGGTGAAAACAGAAAGAGGATGAGTGCTCCAGTAGGTAAGGTGTAAAATCCAATAAAGGAAAACCACGTTTCTCTATACGCTCAACACTCCTGAGACCAAAGGTGTGGATCTTCCACATCAATTCTCTGTAGACACCAACTGGGAGTCTTGCAATTTAATTCTGACACTAACTATGCAAAGTTAGTGCAGCCCCCATGGGTTAAGGGCTCAATGCCACGAGGCTGTCCCCACTTCAGATGGTGATCCCAAGTCTAGGTGACCAGTTGGCTATAGATCAGGGTTCCTTGACTCATTTCTTAGATTCAATCATTTGCCAGAATGGCACATGGAACTCAGGAAGGCACTTATGTTTACTAGTTTATTATAAAAGATACAACTCAGAAACGGCCAAATGGAAGAGATGCATAGGGCAATGTTTGGGGAGAGGCACAAGGCTTCCCTCCCTCTCCAGGTGTGCAGCCTCCAGCACCGCTATGCGTGCATCAACCAGGAAGCTCTCTGAAGCCCTGTGGTCAGAGCTTTTATGGAGGCATCATGAGGTAAACATTATTGATTAAGTCATTGGCCATCGGCACTCAATCTCCAGCCTCTCTTCTCTCCCCATAAGTTTGGGACTGAAAGTTCCTACCCTTTAACCACTTGGTTGGTTCCCCCGGCAACCAGCTCCCCCATCCTAGGGGCTTTCCCAAAGGTGTCTTATTAATGTAAATTCTGATGTAGGTGAAAGGGGCTTCTTATGAACAACAAAAGATGCTCCTATCACCTTTGTCACTCCAGAGCTCTTTCAGGAACTGGGGACAAAAACCAAATATTGTAATAAAAGATGCTCCTATCATCCTTACAAGGGTTTTAGAAGCTCTATATCAGGAAGGTGGTACAGGGATACAGGGAGACCAAATGTATGTTTCCGATGTCATGCCAATTTTTAAAAAACAATAAAATGGACAACGGTGCAAAGAAATGTTATTGACCTAGAAAACAGACTGAGAGACCTTAGGTGTACATTCTAAGTTCAATACCAGCAGATTATAAATATGAAAATTTGCAGACAATAGTGTAATACTACAGGGCTAGCAAATAAGTGGCTCCTCTCCACCTACTCAATCCACTCCCAAGACAGTCATCATTAATCTATCTCTGCAGTCTTTTCTTTTGAGCCAAGACAAGACCAGAAGTTTCTTAACCTAGCGTTTTGGACAGCCTCTACCCAGTGCTTGTAGTTGCAATAGAAGATGAAAACAGGCTGGGCGAGGTGGCTCATGCCTGTAATCCTAGCTCTCTGGGAGGCCGAGGGCGGGAGGATTGCCCGAGTCAGAGTTCAAAACGCAGCCTGGAGCAAGAGCTAAAACCCCGCTCTACTATAAATGAAATAACTCTACTAATAGATATAAAAAAAAAATTACCGGGCATCGTGGTGCATGCCTGAGTCCCCAGCTACTCGGCGTCTGAGGCGAAGATTGCTTAAGCCAGGATGTGAGGCTGTGGAGCAGCCGCGCCACGCACCTCAAAACTCTACCTAAGGCACAAAGCGAGACTCTGCTCAAAAAAAAAAAAAAAGATGAAAACAACTTGCTTCTATACGGGCAATTACATCATCCAGAAATAATGGGGGAGGGGGAAAAACAATGTGTCATTTCTTCAATAAGAAAGGATATAATAATATAGAATTCAGCCTAAAAATGGAAAAGGCACACAGGTCTCTTCAAGGTTTAACATTCAAGAGAAAGGCATTTAGACGTATGCTTGCTAAGGCCTTGAACTTTAGAAATAAAGAATGATGGCTTGAAGCAACTAAAGAGAAGAGAAAGACTGCGTTTCAGGCCATCGGAGATAAGAATAGCTTGAGATCACCCTACCAAAGTGCTGAAAAGGATCCATAAATCCACAGAATCTGCAGAAATTCTCCATTGCACAAATCTCTTCTTCAAAGAATTACCCCAAGGAGAATTTGACTTAGATAAGCTATGATTATAATTACTTAAAAATAAATAATGTAAGCACTAGGGTAACTATTGATATATAGTAAAATTTAATTTGTCTGTATGGCAGTCCTTAAAAATGATGAGAAAAGACATTTTAAACATGTTTCAAATTGTCAGTTCTATCAATCATAAATGAGTTGTGGAGAGCAGGTTTAGGTGGAATTCCAGTGTTAGCCAATATATTTTCTGTTAAGTGGTCCAAAATTGTTTTGTTATTTATAATATTAGATTAAAATATGAGTGTAGATAAATAAAATGATTATACTGTTTTGCCCTTTTTTTAAGTATTAAGAGGTTATGTCATTGCATATAAGAACCATTGGTTTATTTTTTTATATGGAACACTTTACAAATTTTTGTGTCATCCTTGCTCAGGAACCATGCTAATCTTCTCCATAGTGCAGAACCATTGATTTTAAAGTACACCATTATATAAGCACTACTCAGAAAGACAAAAATCACTTTAGTTAAGCTATTACCCAATGGTTAGGGGAAAACCCCTAAGAATTCTTATTGCTTAGAATTTTTATTTTATCCTTTTCGGAGGTGTTCCTGTAGGCTTGCTGAGACATAGACGTGATCATCTTACTGAGAGCTATGAGAGTTCATGCACATGGAGACTGACCACTCTTCCCCTGGCTGGCAGCCACTGTAGGGAACCATAAGACACAACCGGATTTTAAGGATGCTAAAATGTAAAATATGTGCCTTAGAATTGATAAAATATGACACATTAAATAAGTTACTTTCCAAGTGGGTTTAAAAGGAAAGAAAGTACTTAAAACAGACAACTGTGACTGGGCGTGGCCCAGACTATACTACAGGGATGTACAAAATGCCTTGAATAAGGTCTTGACTGACTCTGCCAAGAAGGCCTTCCACCTTCCAGTCGGGGCACAGAGACGTCCTTGGAGAAGGCAGAATTGAAAAGAAGGAGAAAAAACCCAGAATGATGGAAAGGAGTTCAAATGTGACAGACTAGTTTAAATGCCCCTGGGATCTTATAATTTGGGGATCCAAGACAGGATCACAAGGCTCTCACAGTACTCGTGCCACTGTAAGGGGAGGAGGGGACAGCACTGTGCCTCCCGTAGCAGGTGCTCAGCATGCATTTGTTGAGCACACGCATGCACGTGTGCACGAGCGAATGAATGGATAAGTGAGTACGTGCATGAGTTAGGGCTGTCTGTGGCCCAAGATAACAGCTGTTCTCTTTTCCCTTTCTTCACCCCAGAGAAACTTGAGTGTGAGAAGCTGAATGTTGCTGAGGTCACCCAGTCAGAGATTGCTCAGAAGCAGAAACTGCAGACTGTCCTGGAGAAGATCAACGAAACCCTGAAACTTCCCCCCAGGAGCATCAAGTGGAACGTGGACTGTGAGTTGTACATAGGAAAATGGCAATATTAAATGACACCTGTGGTCCCTACCACATGGCCTCCCCAAGATGCCATCGTAAGCTGGCAGGCTCTGGGGGGGTTCGAACTCATTTATCTTTGAGGGAGATGCCCCCTCCCTTCCTTAAAAAGGGAACTTATACATACCCCTGGAGAAAAATAACCAAGTGTCAAAATCCTGTGTCTCTTTTCTGTAAAAAGGCTTTCCCTTAGAAACCCTGTGTGGGATTGGGAGGGGAAGGAAACTCGTATTCACTGAGCTGCTCCTTCTGAGAAAGCCATTGCTTCCAGCTTGTAGAGGCTTCGGGAAGCTGAGGTCCCCATGTCAGGCAGCCAAGAAGCAGGGAGCAGGGACTCAGCTCTGTCTGTTCCAAAGCCTCCACCCTTCCACGCCCCCTGCATCTATTTACTACAGGAGCAAAGGCATGGCTGGGATCGCAGGCGCTGGCACAGGATTTTAAAATTTGGCTTTTCACAGCTAGTATAGCTCGAGGATCTCAGAAAATGTAAACCATTAGTTTATTTGCTGCCTCGAGGGCCTGTCGTCTCATATATGGACTTAATGAGTCCATATCAAAATCAACATCAAATCACTGGATTAGGCGAATCCTACAACTGGATTCCAAAGGTGTTTTGTTCTTTGCGATAGATAAAAACATGACTTTAGATTAATAAACTAACGAGACTGCGTTTTGCCTTTAAGTATTAAGAGGTTATATACTATATCACATCCAACTTAGACAACTTAAAATGAACACCTTCCATACTCAAGAAAGAAAAAGGGATCTTCGCCTCTAAACTTAGAAACCTGATAGCTGCCAGTCACAATCTCTCCAGCAGGTTTTTAACATCTGACACTGGGGCCAAGACACCCAGTACCTCCTTCAACATAATGACACCTTTGCCTGCACAGCGTGATCAGCTGCTTCACACAGCGGCAGGGCGCTGGGAACAGGGCATTCTGTGTCCACGGAGGGGACAGCTGATGGCAGGAGGAGGGGAGGCCACGGCTCCGGGCCCCAGGTGCTGTCTCAGAGAGGGGCTCTATTAATATTTCCTCGAGTTCCAAAAATGCTGCTGTGTTCAGTGAGGGAGAAAAAGAGGGGGTTTGATCTCCAGTTTGGGAAATGTGCATGCATTTTAGAAATCCACACTAGTCTAAGCATTAGAGAAGTCCTCTAATGAAGACCCTGCTTTGTTTTGTTTGATCCTATTTCCTACTCCTTTGAACATGGATCATCTCCTTGTACCAGAAAAAAAAAAAAAAAAACCCACAACAAACATCATTTAACTTATTAGGGTATCCAATTTGTGGAAGGCTGAGATAGAAGAATGACATTTTTTCAAGCCACATCAAGAACATTGTCTTCAGTGACTTTGAATGATTTGTTTGGTTCATGCTTACTTTAATTCCTTATAGGGAAATGTGTATGAGGAAAATAATCACTCGTATTACCACTCTAATCTGTTTTCATTTGTTTGCCCATTACTGGTCACATGAATGCATCTTTTTGCTTGGTCAAGTCATAGACACTATTGTGTTTTGTTATTTTCTCTTAATACTATCACACGTATTTTCTATATTTCCTTGTGGTCTTTGTAGCTATAATTTTTGATAGCTGCTTCTATTTCATGGGATAGATACCCCATAGTTAAGCTCAACACTAGGTTGATATTGATCCTTTTAGGATGTTTCCCAACTTATTGTTAATATCAGCACCAAGTTGAATGTCTTAGTTTGTGCCTCATTTTACCCTTTAGAGGGATTTCCGGAACTGAGATGGATTATTAGGTCGGAGGGAATAATTATCTTGGTGGCTAGCTGCCTGCAGTGCCTTAAGAAATGTGACAGGCACAACTCCTGGAGGGGAAGCTCTGTCTCCTCCTCTCTCGGGTATCTTCTCTGGATGTAAATCTGAGGACATTGTGACATCTTTCTGCTCAGGATAAGGGTGGCAGGGACAGGCTGCTGAATTACTAAGGTCCTTGATCTGGGGCTTTAGGAAGTTCTTCCTTTTTTTTTTTTTTTTTCCCTAATTCACAACGGTAATTTTCATTAATGAAAATTTAGAAAGTGCAGATAAAAGAAATGTGTGTCTTGTACTCTTCTAAACACTTTAGGTATTTTAATCCTTATAATCCTTACTTAACCATCTGAAGTAAAAATTCTATTATTCTCATTTTATAGGTGGGAAAATTGAGACATAGAGAAGTTAAACTATGAATGTAAACTTCATGAGGGCAGGGATTTCTGTCTTTTCACTGCTATCTCCCCAGAGCCAAGAGGAATGACTGACACATACGAAGCACAGTATTTTAGGGCCAAAGGGTATGTACATTTTTAAGGTCATACTGCATAATGTGAAATTGCCTCCAGAAAAACTACACCAGTTTATATTTCCACCACAGGATGTATTTGGAAAACTATCCTTTAAAAACTGTTTTCCAGCCCTATAATAACACTCCCTGCACAATGGCTATAGTCTCAGCTTAAACTGTGAAGCCTTGGCCCTTGCTCTTATTCTGCACATTCCCACCCTGAGTTGAGTGCAGGCACATGGTGGCCTTAGATTCTGTCAAACATCAGGGAGAAAACTCCCAGGAGACACATTAACAGGCAGCAGTGATGCAATTATGCATGCATAAATACATATGTATTTATGTATGCATCTATCCATAGATATATCTATTTACCATTATTCTATTACGGTTTATAGCTGCATTGTCTTAATGATTTTTGATGCATGCAAACTATTATGTGGATACACCATAACTTTTTAAAGCAATGATTATTAAACCATGCTTGGTCCAGCTAGGTAGGGATTTGCAAGGAGAAACCCAGCATCTCTAGGGAGAGGACACAAAGCCATGGGTGGGCTGCAGTTAGTACTCTGGAATCCTCATTATCACTTTAGCCAGAGCAATATTACTTTTTTCAAGTGTTTTACCAATCAGCTTTTAGACCAAAGGATTTCTCAGCTTAATTGATTTAAAAAAAAAAAAAAAGTTTGAAAACCGCTGGTCTAAACCATCCTCTTGCTCTTGGACATGTCTTTTTCAGAGCTTTTAAAAATGATAGTATATCATACAATAATTAGCATTTCTGGTGCTTGCTTCGGCAGCACATACCCTAAAATTAGAATGATACAGAGAAGATTAGCATGGCCCCTGCACGCAAATTCATGAAGCATTCCAAATTTTTCTGAAGCTCTCATGCCAGAGCCTGAGGTTCTGCCTCTGTGTCTGCAGAAATCTCACCAGGCCGGAGACACTATCTCAGCAACACAGCAACAGTCTCCAGCACCACACCTGGACCCCAAGACCCCACCCCAGAGCCTCTACCACCAAACCAGGGCTGGAAGAGCTGCTCCAAACTCCAATGCCCCACCAGAGACCCCCAGCCTCAAGCCTCCAGCACATTGCAAACTGCTTTGAGCAAATTCACACAGTCCAGGAACCCACAATGACCTTATCTACCTGTTGTGGTTACCTTGTAGGGAGAGCCTGGGTAAAGCAATCCCCACAACACCAGCCTCAGTGAAGAGAGTCTTGTCCAGCTCCCAACTTGAATATCCTCCAACTGTCTGGAGAGTTCTCAGCAAAGAACAGGAGTCCTGCAAACCTATTAACCCAGAACTCAGAAAAGAGGGTTCAAATGAGAAGAAACCAGCAAAAGAACCCTGACAACATGAAAATCAACAACACCCCCAAGGGGATCACAATGGAGCTACAGCAATGAACTCCAATTACAAGGAAATTATCAAAATGACAGAAATAGAACTCAGAATATGGATGGAATTGAAGAAAAAGTTGAAAACCAACAAAAAGAAGCCCCAGAAATATTTCAGGAAGTTAATGAAAAAGTCACTACAGAGCTTGACAAAATTAGAAAGGATATAATAGAACTTAAAGAAATGAAAGAGTCTTTCAGGGATTTTCATAACACAGAAGAAAGTTTCAGCAACAGATTAAACCAAGGAGAAGAAAGAATCTCAGAGCTTGAAGACAAGGCTTTCGAGCTAACTCAGTCATTTAAAGAGGTAGAGAAGAGAACAAGGGCAGAACAATCACTTAGAGAGATACAAGACTACGTGAAGTGAATAAACACAATTTTTGGGTATCCCTGATGGAGAAGAAGAAAGTGCTAAAAGCATGGAAAATCTACTTGATGGAATTATTGTGGGAAATTTCCCCAGTATTTGCCAGAGATACAGATACCCAGATACAAGATGGTCAACAAAATCCAGGTAGATTCATAGCAAATAGGACATCTCCAAGACACATAGTACTCAACCTGGCCAAAGTCAAAAGGAAAGAGAAAATTCTTCAAGCAGCTAGACATAAGCAACAACTGATCTGCAAGGGAAAACCCATCAGAATAACAGCAGACTTCTCAGTGAAAACCTTACAAGCCAGAAGGCAGTGGGCCCCCATCTTTAATCTTCTTAAACAAAACAACCGCCAGCCTAGAATTTTGTATCCTGCAAAACTAAGTTTCACATTTGGTAGAGAAATTAAGTCTTTTCCAGACAAGCAAATGCTGAGTGAATTTGCCAACTCCAGACCTGCCGTGAAGGAAGTACTCAGACCTGCACTATACGTGGATCAGCACAGTAGATGCCCACCAATATAAAACCCCCCCAAAGCTAAAGATCAGAGCCCAGTAACCACTAATGGCTCAAGAGATAAAACATAGCAGTAAAGTGCTATTCAACAGGAAGAATAGAAGTCCACCCCACTTATCAATTCTTTCAATAAATGTGAATGGCTTGAACTCCACACTGAAGAGATATAGCCTGGCGGAATAGATAAAGAAAATACAAGCCCAGTGTCTGCTGTCTCTAGGAAACACATCCAACCTACAAGGACTCATTCAGACTCAAGGTGAAGGGATGAAAAACAATATTCCATGCAAATGGAAACCAAAAGAAAGCTGGTATAGCAATTCTTACATCAGGTAACATACACTTCAAATCAACAA